TATGATATCTTTATATAATCATCTAGTAGATTTATTTATTTTGTTATTTTGCCACATCCTTTAAAATTATATATCAATTATATTAGTTTTGACATTATTTCAGATCTGCAATTTCCAACTCTTCCAAATCAATTGAATTTCCTAGAACCAAAAGAAAAATTTGCAGTTGTCGCTCCTGTTAAATATGTTGCATGGTTAGAACCACCATTATTTGTTGCTGATAGTATAGCCAGAGAAATAGGGAAATCAGTTGGGGTTATCAATAAAGGTATAAATGATTCTTTTTTTTTAGATGTAAAAAATGTTTGGTCTAATAAATTATTATTTAGATTCTTTTCCGATTGGTGTTAGTGGTGGTTTTGACAACAGGGATACACAAAGTTTATCACTGGAAGAGCTTTTGGTAAATAAATATTAAGGCACACACGCCATTTAAAATTTCTTCTTCTCTCATATTTTATTATTATTATTAGATACAAGATATTGTTCCATCTTCTGTTTTGTTTTCTTTATCAAATAACCCTAGCATAAATACTTATTGGGAAAAGGTATTATCATCGACATTATATATTTTTTTATCTCTTGATAAAGTCCTTTAATAATGATTTTTTATATAAATTGCAAACTAGAGTTTTGATGATTCACCTTATTTACAAGTTTACTCATTAAATAGTAAATCTTGTTGCACAAGTTCCAAAAGAATTGATCGTTTACCTTTCACAAATCCTGTTCAAATTTACAGAATATTAAAGGTTTGTAAGAATACAATATCAATTTAAACCATTTAAATTTTTTTCTCTTATAATTCATTTTAAATCTTCCTTAGTTATTGCGCCAACAACTTGTTTACAATACATTGTTTCAAAGTTGTTTCAATTCTTTTACATATAAACCTTCTCAACCCAAACAAAATAGAATGGACGTTGATGTTGAAGGAGGTTTGTGAATATTTATATATTTTCAGTAATATCCATAAACATTAATTATTTTTTTATTTAAAAATAGTTTCATCAAGAAAATTGGAAATAAGGTTTAATGTAATAGATCCACCAAACAAGTTTTCAATAAGTTTCCAATCAACTAATCTTGCGTCATCATCATTTATATTTTTACAAATTACCATACAACAAGATTCACGGTTATTGGTTACATCCCAATTAACTAGTAATGTTGGTGAGACAATACTGGATGACAAAAAATTAACAAAAGTTTTAGAAATTTGTCAAAACATACCAATGTTGATTGAATGGGTTCTCAAGGCTTTAGATAAAAGGTTTGGAGAACAATATAGCCACCAATGACATGTTGAGATAGGGTTTTAACAAGGATTATTTCATTAATGATTCAAGAAATAAATAAAACAAACCAATAACTCTTCCCTCAAAAAAAAAAAAATAATAATAATCTCAATATGAAATAATAAATGTCTCCTTTAACATAGATTCTCCACCCAAAGTTTCATTAAATGAGTTTATTAACTCTAGCTTTTTATTATATTAATATGTAATGTTGATCTAGTTTATTATGAGTGATTTTTTTGAGGAACAGATAGTCTTAGGAGGCCTTCAAAATCGAATATCATTTCTTAATTAGGATAAATTTTGTGATGGCCCTGTAAACTATTTCCAAAAATGGTAAAGTATAAGATTGTTCGAGTATATAGAACCCAGATAAACCGAATATCATTCGGCGGATACAACTACTTGTAACTATACTATTATCATATCCCATGTTATAAAATTTTTTTTCACATTTGAGGAAGATTTATAAAAATGGATCTCTGCAAAATACTGTACATATGTTTTATATA